TTTCAATTGATTAAAATAGCTCTCCAATACCAATTTCCTTGATTCAGGTTAATTTCACAATCAAATTGATAAATTTAATAAACTAATAATTAATTCTATCATATAAATGTAATAATGATTAAAATATTTGCTTTTAAGTTTGGAATGTGTAAAATTTACCATAATACAATTATGTAAAGAATCTTTATAGTGAAACTGTTGATAAAAAAGTAATAATATAATCTGATAACTTGTTCTTATATATTACTTTTACCAATTACACTGTTTATGTATATAATCCTTCTTTACCATATCACATGAGTTTATATTATAAGTTAGAATTAACTTCACCAATTAAGTGATTAATATTCAATAATATTTTCTAATAACAATTTCTATATTCTTTTGAGAGTTAATACTTTAATATCACTTATTAATATCAAAATTAAAACTTTAATAATTCAAAAAATTATCCGTAATATACTTACAATTATACCATAAAATCAGGATTGAATAACACAGTCTCTTAGTCTACACCTAATTAAACTATTATTTTTTATTCAAACTTTACTGTGTTCTAGAATGAAATGAATTTGTCTATTAATTTAACCAATAATATGATAATACCTCATTCAAAAAATTTCTCATATCCAATGAATTTAATTCTTGATAGATAAGTGGGTTATTGTGGATCTACAAACCCAAATTAAACCTATAATTTAAACTAACATTGCAGTTTAACTTAATTTTCTCATTTGTCTAAAAGCATTCCTAATACTCAGAATTACACTTTAATTACTTCAATAAATAATGAATTTTTTGCTTTGCAGAATAACTTTTTCCTTTAAACTGTAAATAATGAATTACAGAATCTATCTAATTTTTCTAGTTATTCACGTCTAAATTTTAGTGAATGTCTACAATCAACATCATATAATTATACCTTATATTCAATTTGTTAAAATGATACTGCATAATATTTACTAAACTTTACATTAGATTCTTAAGGAGTTATTGTAAATCATAATACCACATAGCTTCCTTAAATGTTTTAAAATATTACCAAAATAAATACACTTCTAAATTAAATTTTTATTTTAGGTTTCTTTGCAAATTTTCAGCAATAATTGTATTGGTTTAATTAATCTGGCAGCAGATTATTAGAGATATCTGATCCAAATAACCTATGTCAAGATTTCTCTATTGCATAAGTAGATACAACAACTTCTGTTATTAAAAAATATTAATAAATAATTATATTTTATATTCAATAAGGTAAAAAATTTTAATTACTCTTATATCAATAAATGCTAATTTTAAATAATAGAATCACTTTGCAAAATAGTTTTTTGGCTAAGAACTGGAGTTTATTATGTGAATGAATAACTAAATGAAAACTTATTAGAACCCATTATGTAAGGTTCATTTAATACTACAATAAATAATTATGCAATGATTGTAAATTAATAATATAAAAATGGAACATCTCTATACATTTATAATGGATATATATATACTTTCTCATTAGGTACCTGGAATCTAACATGTCTATTGAATAGAAAAACATAAAAAAACATTAATGTTTCAATATTTTGTAAAAACGAATTTTCAAATGGTACTTATAATATCTCATTTAACCCACCTACATTAGAAAAATTTAGTAAAAGGTGGATATATACTTTGATTTCTTTAATTTGCTTGCTTTTATTGTATTTTTACATTAAAGTGAAAAACAAGACAAGGAATTTAGGATATATGAAATCTGAAATTGAATTATGATGTATTCAATAACATTCAATATAAATAATAATAATTGCTCTAACTTCTTGTTAATAATAAATATTAAATTACACCATCTAGATTTAAAATTAATTTCATTTATCTAATAGCTAATTTTATATTTTTAAATATTTGTATTTATATCCAAATCAAGCTAATCTATTATTTATAAAATATTAATTATCAATAACATAAAATAATATCCTGTATTTAATTTAATTATAAATTAATAATATATTAGTTTAATGGTGAGGAGTAGTTTGAGTAAAAACCTTACAATCCCAATATAAATCAATAATTTTTGTTTAAATAAAAAAATCAATCATATTGAGAATTATATATCAAATGGATTTTATTGCGTTAATATCCCTACTAAAAGTTACAAATCTTCTCTGCAATATAAATTGTATTGTATTTCTACAACGATCTGATTTTGATATTTTCTTGAATTTGGGGCTGTTATCATCTCTACCAATTTATTATTTTAGTTCATCAATTTACAACAATTATTAATTTCTTTGTAATTTTTTTATAAAATCACTCTCAATTTTCTTAATATTCTTCTATTTAAGATGTTGCTTATGTTAGAGACATTTGTTTTTAAGTTTGTAGTTTAATATATCATTAAATAAACAGAGAAAATTTTTTTGATTGGACACTAATATTGATTATAATAAAGATAAAATGTACTTGATATTAGTAGAGCAAGCATTAAAATAATTTATATCAATTTGAAGAAGCATAATTTTAGGATAAAGCAATTTTAATAAATCCTGAAGATTATAAAGTTTTTTTCAATAAAGGTAAAAATAGAATTATTAATTAACGTATTAAATTGATTTTAAAAGATTAACTAAGATTTTAATATTGATAATAATTATTATAAAAGAATATTTGAATAAACTGTTTATTTTTTATAATTTTCAAAGCTCGATTTCTAAAGTAGGATACTTTAATTTCCTCAAACTATCTTTAACTTTAATGTAAAATATTATTAAAAGTAAAACAATTATTGAAAGCAAAGCATAAATCGATTTTCTACTATAATTCACTTAATCTGGTAAGTTGAAAGTAATATTATAATTTCCATTTTAATATTCATTCTAACAAAAAATATTGACAATTAATTTTTTTGCATGTTTTGTAAATTTACAATCAACACTCCATTTACTTATTGTATACTTTTAAATAGAAGAGTTATAAAATGAAAGGCATGTTCCTTTAAAATACAGTTCCACAATTGAAATAGTTTTAAAAAATTTTAATTTACTATTTTACATATTAAATATAATATATGAATTAATATATTATTCAATGTGAATTGATTTTTTAAAATTCATTAACTGTGATTTGAATCTACAATCATTGCATATTGTAATGATGTAGTATTAAATAAACCTTACATTAAATAAGGCTCATTTATGTTGTTTAATAAATTATCTAAATAATAAGCACCAACAACATAATAATTTTGATATAAAAATGGTTGTACCAATATGCCATTTTGATATATTGAGTTACTTGTTTAAGTTAAATTAAGATAATTGGGAATTGTTTATATATTTTAAACTGGTATTGGCTGTTAAAAACTTATTATAGCCTCTAGTTAAAAAGTAAAAATATAACTACAAGTAGGGGTAGCTACAAAGATATATATATTTGACTTAAAAATATCCATAATCATGACTTAATATACCTTTATATAATTTTCAATAATATCCATAAATCCACCTAGTTATGAGAGTTTGACTATGTAATCTTCAGTTATCATGTTCCGATAAAATAAACTATTTTATATTACCATTACAATAATGATCAATTTTGTGTTATTTTAAGAAATACCAATACCTACTGTAGAAAAATCCTAGCATTCAGTAGTAAAAAAACCATAATAAGAAGGCATATTTGATAAGCATATAAAGTTATTTTCAGATTAATTAAACCAATACAATTATTGAGTTTAATTAGGTAAAGCTCCTAATATAAAAATTTGATCTTAAACAATGTTCAGTTTGCAAATATTTTCAAATATATCCGGAAGCATTATGGGTTCTTTTTCTTAAATAGCTGTAATATTCATTAAGTCAAAAGTAAGCAAATATAAGGAAGAACTATTTTCACATATTGAATATAATTAAAAAGAGCTTGAAACAGAGTTTAGGCAACTACTGAACCCAAAATTAGTGTAAGATATATTTGAAATCACTTACAAATCAATATCTAAGATTAAAATACTATCATTATTTTGTAAAGCAAAGTATGTATTATTTATTGATGTGATTAATGAATAATTGATCCATTTGTTATCTATAATTTCAATTTGATTAACATTTATTTCGCAATTAGGAACATCTGGATTTATGGAGCAATTACTAACTTATCTGTCAATTATTAGATTCAAAGGATATGTGAACGATTTAGTTAGAAAATTAATCATATCCCAGGATACATTTAATGAGTTTATTCTATCCTAAAAAATAATGAAATTATTAAAATAAATTATACTTTAATTAGGAAGTGTATAATTAACTGACTGATTCAATCCTGAAGTTATAGAAAGATTAAATATAATTTGGGGATAAGTTTTTAAAAAGTCAACAGTAGAGGATTAATCGCTATAAGTGATTGATTATAAAGAAACCAATTTATAGAAAGTTTCTTATTGAAGTATCATAGAATAACCATTAATTGAATTCAATATAATAGCTACACTACATAAAATAGGGGATTTTAATTCTAACTTATAATATAAACTCATATGTTATGGATATGAAGGATTGTATATGTAGGTAGAGTAGTTACTATAAGTAACATATAAAAACAAATTATCTGATTATACTATTACATTTTTATCATAATTCAAACTATATAAACTTTTTACATAATAAAATTTCGGTAATTTTTCAATATTATAGACTTCAAAACAAATGTTTTGACTATTATTACAAACATATGATAATATCAGTTAGTTATTCATTAAATTTATTTATTTTATTTTATAATTTACTTGAATTAATGAGACAGGTATTGGAGTATTATTTTCACTAATTGTAACAATAATTATTTCATTAATATTATTAATATATAATAGAGATTACTATATATTCATAACAATTTAAATAGGATTAAACTAAATTTTGTTGAAGTATTTAATTATTTGCAATTCATTTAAAACAAATATATTGGTAAAGTTCAATGTCATAATTTAAATTTCTTTTTTATATATTAGGATTATTATATTTTTGAATGTAATAAGAAAATCTGAGAATTCTTAATCAAAAGTAAAATTTTATTGATACACAGTATTATTTAAATCATATTAAAATAGATAAATTGTATTTTTATTATTTATTCCAAAGATTATGAGGTAAGGATCAATGCCGTAAGAAGCTTATAAACAATTTGATATAACATTAGTATCTATAGAGATTAATTGTTGGAAACCATTCTAAAAATAAAAAATTTCAATCGATTTATTTTGATATCCAATAAGATATTCAGTTCCCAATAATTATGCTAATTAAAATGCTTATGAGATTTAACAAAATTAAGAATAAGTATTTTATGTGTAATTGACTTAAACTTAATTAATTGAATAATTTAATAATTATCCCGAATAACTTTAAAATGATTAAACATATATCTCTTTATTCCAATATGTTCTATACTCTAGTAGCTCTTGATTATCCATTACATAAATGTTTGTATCATTAGGAAACAAGATTTACAAATTAATTTTTACCAGAATATATTAATTTACCCCTAAAAACTCAGAACAAATAAGATTCATTTTCTAATTATAAACAATAGATTCATTATTAGTTAGATTTATTGATAAGAATGGTTATGAAATTAAATAAACAATGATCTCTTCATTAAATAAAAATAATTCATTATAATTGTTGAGAAATAATTTGGAATTTTTCTAGATTCTTAGTTTATAAGTGAATTCATCCCCCTAGGGATAATAATATATCTCTAAATAATTAAAACCTTAAAATATTCGATATTCTTGATTTTAGAATATCTAAAAGATCTCTCCAAATACTTAAATTTCAGTAGACCCATTTAAAATTGCTTAGTTTTCAATTCCATTTAATGGTATTATCGTGTATTATAGATAAAATGCACATATTAATATTGAATCAAATTTGGGGTTAGTTTCATAATCATAATAGACATCAATCGTGGTAAAATTCAATTGAATTTATACGAGATTTGATCTATATTGAAATGAAGACTCTTCTGATATAGAATATTAATAGACCGCCTTTAATGTTAGTATATATATATTTGGGCTAATTTTAATAGGTGCATCAAAATCAATAAATTAAAAATTTAAAGAACTTAAATTATACAATTAATTAGATAAAAGAGAAAGTATAGAATAATCTGAATAATATTAGGCATAAGTTATAAAAACTTTTGTTCCATTTAGAATTGATAATATTTTGGTTGATTAAGGCCTCTGTGATTAAAATTTGTGATCAATAATTGATGTTCCATCTATTGATTGGAAAAAATGCAATTAGTTATTTAAATAACAATCAACTACAATCCCAAAATCAATTGAAAGATTGATATTAAAGCAATCATTTTCAAAATCAATATTTATTGATTATCCAACTTATTTCATTTATTAATCTTTCCATTAATAGAAAAATACTGAATTATTATTTGTTAGAGCAGCAAAATGGGTAAAATTTGACGATAATGATTTAAATTCTATATAATTAAATTAGTATTTTTACTAAATCCTTTTGTTTTGAAAATTTCTTAGTGATGATTTGTGACTTGAGCAATGGAAATTTGAGGATGAATTTCACATGGCAAATAGTCTTAGACTATCGCATTATAGGACATCATTTCATTTAAGGGATACTAGTAGTACTCTCCTAATGTTGGATACAGTGTAATTTCTGTTACTTAACATGTTATCGATTTTAATATTAAAAACATGATTTACATTTTAATAAAAATATTAATCTAATTAGATTGAATTTTAATAATTTTAGAGCTATGATTAATATAATATAAGTTAGTGGATTTTATTGTAATATTTATCCTCATTTAAATTGTATTTTATTCATAATATTTAAATCTAAATTACAAAGATTATCAAATCTAAGTTATTTATATATATATGTATAGACAATATATATATATATATAGATATATATATATATATAAATATAATTATTATTTAAAATGCAAAGCGAGAGCAATGGCTATAAGTTTCCTTTAAGTAAAAGTGATGATTTGCTATTTATTCATAGAGTAGATTAAGATAATCAATAAAATTTTATGGAATCATAAACCCGAAAAAGTAGTTTACATGACTTTATAGTCTAAAACCAAAGAAATAAAAAATAGAAGGAACTCACATAATTCTATAAATTCAATAATGAAAATCAAAAAGAAAAGTTGCAGTATGCATAGTTTTGAAAATTATTACGATTATATTTTTTTTTTAAATTGCAGACAACTTAAAAACAAAATTCTAACTCAGAATGCACAATAAGGTTATAATGCTTATATGGAATAGTATTTCTTTTAGAATCAAAAAATTTCATTAAAATAAGATTATCAGGTTTTGATTTAGTAACAATCTAACAAAAACTTAGTGTATGTACAAGAAGAAGAAGTTTAAGATAAACATAATTGTTGTGGTATTAGTTTAGGTGAGTACAAAAATAAATAAAAGGTTTTAAACTTTAGACATGAGTTTTGTAAGGGCTTTTTGTAGAATTATTTGGATTATAAAATAAATATTGGTTAAATGTTGGAAGTCGAATGCCCCCAATAAGGATGCGATAATTACTTTAACGATAATGCAATAAAGAATTTGATTATTGATGAATAATATAGAGAATTAATTTATATTTATTAAAATTGTATTATATTTATATTCAACAAGAATATTTAGTGCATCAAAAAGACGAAAAATTCAAGAAATAAAAATTATTAGACAGTTGGATGGTGTTTAAAACCAGGATGCGATAAAAATATAC